AACACACACGACCATTTAATTTGCCCAACATTGTAAGGTTTACTTTTGTTGGTCAGTTAACTTTGGCACTGTTTGAACGTACGGTCTTTCAAAACTTGTCTCGGTTTTTTAGTCGATTTGCCCTTTTTATTTTGGCCCTTTTAGGCCATGCGAGGCTGAATTGTTACCGTGAGTTCCACGAACACGAGTTAGACACTAGTGAGAACAGCAGCAACCCACCATCATTTAATTCTCCAAAGTAGTTCTCTTTAGTAATCGCCGTGACATAAGCATAAGCCGACAATAACAAGAGCTAAATGTTCTTCTTTATGCTACGCTTGTCTTTCGGAAATTAGTAATGGGAGTAACATAAGGGAAATAAGCTTTTGTTCTTCCTTGTGCCTCTGCGCTAGTCAAAAGTAGCCTTAACTCTCAACAACCGTCCCTCGTGAGATCATTCAATTTGCCCAATCATTCAGATTCCAGACATGCAAGGTTGTTCTTGTGAGTTTTCAATGGACGTCGTCTCTTTGCTTGTGAGTGTTAAGGAGAATTGGGAACTTCTCCTCGTCCAGACCTGTCAAGTTTCATTGTAAAAGAAAAAAAAAGCTGACAATAAGGGAAGAGTCAGTTTAACTCCAAGTTCGGCAAAAAAGAGAACAGACCAATAGCCGAGAAGAAGCCCCAAAACAAGGGAAATTTATGGCAACTATGTCCTGACCTCAAAGCTTTAGTGACTTAGTTCAGTGCGTGCAATGTAAATTGTTTAGTGGAAGTGCATGATAGTTTCTATTTAAACCTTAATAAGAGTTTGAGAAATCGACAGTTCACATTTTTGTTTAGCCTGTTAACTTGGCAATGGTTCGTATCTCATTTACAACCAAAATTGATCAAAATATATTAAAGTTCACACGGCAACCAGGTGGACAATCAGACATAGTTTGAAGCTACACTGGTTTGCAGATTTAATGAATGTAACCGAAGAAGTTACAATTCATAGACCCAACGTTTCGACACTCCTGTCTAGTGCCTTCATCAGGGGTGATCTAAACGCTGCAACAAGAGGTCCTTTTATATGATCACTAATTAGCGGCCTTTTTTCTGACGAGGTGTAAATAGGCGTCAGGAAGCAGACCGCCATCGTCACGATTTAAAGGAGCGTGGGCGGAGTTAATGTGCCATGCCTCCAAACAAAGGCGCTGGTGGTAACGCCGATTAGTGGTGATAATTTTAGAATTCTCCCACCCAATTGTATGGTTGGTTAGGCAGGTATGCTCCGATAAAGCTGAATTTTCCTTTTTGCAAAGAAAAACCGCTTTTTGGTGCTCTTTTAGCCGTGTACCAAACTGGCGTTTGGTCTGTCCGATGTATTCGTTGTCGCAGTCATTGCAAGGAATAGAATAAATGGCGTCGGTTCGTTGTTCTTTCGTGACAGGATCCTTAGGTTTGGCGAAAATATGCCCCAAGGTCTGAAAAGGTTTTTGAGCAACTTTAACGTTGTGGCTATTCAAAACTCTCTTGATGGGTTCAGTAACACCCTGTATGTAAGGAATAACAGCAAAACCAGTCGCTGGTTCCCTTTCATCAAGAGCGTTACTATTTGTAACTGGTTTTTGGCAGTTACGGAGAAAAGTTTTTGTATAGCCATTTAATAACATCATCGACATATCGTTTCCATCTAATTTCTTTGAGACCCATTGTCTCTTTTGTTAATTCTCCGACTTATGCAATTTCTGGTTATCTTGCGAGAATTTTGTCGCCTGTTGTTGGGAATACTGATTACACTGTCAAAAATCCCTGCGAATTTACAGATTTCATAAGAGATAAAACTCTTGACGCTTGTGAAGAATTAGTATCTTTCGACGTTGTTTCGCTCTTCACTAAAATCCCAGTTGATCTTGCTGTCAAGGTTGCGGAGGAAAGACTCAGAGAAGATGCTTCCCTAGGACAAAGAACTTCTTTGCCTGTGGAGGATATTATTCATCTGCTGTCTTTTTGCCTCAAAACCACGCAATTTACATATAACGGCACATACTATCAACAAGTTTTTGGTACAGCTATGGGTTCGCCTGTTTCTGCTGTCATTGCTAACATGGTAATGGAAGACGTGGAACAAAGGGCCTTAGCCATTTCACCGGTTAAACCCTTTTTCTGGAAACGATATGTCGATGATGTTATTTCTGCGGTATCCGGAAATGAAGCGGAGCGCCTCTTGTCGCATTTGAATTCATAGAGCCGTCGATCCAATTCACCCTTGAACGTGAAAAGGATAGACATTTGCCCTTTCTTGATTTAAATGTGTCCAGAGGGGTTCAGGGTAATTTAGAGACAAGTGTCTACCGTAAACCCACCCACACCGACAAATACCTCGCTTTCGATTCTCACCACCCTATTTGCCATAAGAAGTCTGTAGCCAAAACTTTACTTAGGAGGGCTGATTGTCTACCATCATCACTCGATTCGAAGGCTTAGGAGAGGAAATATGTTTCCAATGTCCTAAAGGCAAATGGCTATACAAAAACTTTTCTCCGTAACTGCCAAAAACCAGTTACAAATAGTAACGCTCTTGATGAAAGGGAACCAGCGACTGGTTTTGCTGTTATTCCTTACATACAGGGTGTTACTGAACCCATCAAGAGAGTTTTGAATAGCCACAACGTTAAAGTTGCTCAAAAACCTTTTCAGACCTTGGGGCATATTTTCGCCAAACCTAAGGATCCTGTCACGAAAGAACAACGAACCGACGCCATTTACTCTATTCCTTGCAATGACTGCGACAACGAATACATCGGACAGACCAAACGCCAGTTTGGTACACGGCTAAAAGAGCACCAAAAAGCGGTTTTTCTTTGCAAAAAGGAAAATTCAGCTTTATCGGAGCATACCTGCCTAACCAACCATACAATTGGGTGGGATAATTCTAAAATTATCACCACTAATCGGCGTTACCACCAGCGCCTTTGTTTGGAGGCATGGCACATTAACTCCGCCCACGCTCCTTTAAATCGTGACGATGGCGGTCTGCTTCCTGACGCCTATTTACACCTCGTCAGAAAAAAGGCCGCTAATTAGTGATCATATAAAAGGACCTCTTGTTGCAGCGTTTAGATCACCCCTGATGAAGGCACTAGACAGGAGTGTCGAAACGTTGGGTCTATGAATTGTAACTTCTTCGGTTACATTCATTAAATCTGCAAACCAGTGTAGCTTCAAAATTGATCAGTTTGTCTTTTTACTTCGTGCTCACTACTGACTCCTTTTCCCAAACCTTTCACCTTTAGTCCGGGATAAGTTAAAAGACACAGTAAACCAAGAGGCGCAGGTCTAAATTGTGCCATAAAGGTGGAGAAATTCATTTCCTTGGCTCGTAAAAGTAGCACTTACATAAAGACAAACATTGCTGAGTCCATCACGGAACGCTTAGCCCGCTGTTCTTTCCAGTGGAACCATATCTTGAATTTTTACTCTGTCAATTTTAATCCCGGGTCTGGTTGCTCAAGGCAGATGTACCATTACTTTTAGGAAGAATTTTGATCATCCTTTGTCAAATTCATGAAGTCTCCAGCAAACAGCTTATGTTCTTGATTTTTTCCCGCTTTCATATTGGGTTAGTGCTAGTTGGTTATCAAAAGACTCGATTCAGCTGATTACTGTAGCCAACGCTTGCGCTCGTGTTTAGGTTTTTGGTATTTATGCATGGGTCCCTATTGCGGGGTATACGCTACCTGCTACCCTAAATGTGCTAATGAATCTTTACGTGGATTGAAAGCTGTAAAATGGGTTCAGGAATTTTTGGGCCACTTGCCACTGTTGATGGAATCGCGTTCTATTTCTTAGCAAGGAACTGATGAACAGACCTGTGTCCTTATTGTGCAGACAGAGTGGATGTCAAGAATGTATGCAGAAGCTGATTTCAACTCAATCCAGAGGTGGACGGGAAAAGGCATGTGCAGTATGTCGAGAGCCAATCAACGAACAGATGTTGAATATCAGCATACCCCTCAGCTCAGTCATTTCTAAATTGACATGCAGGTGGTGAGCATGGTTCTAATGAGGGAAATCAAGAGACCTGCTCATTCCTCCTCCTTAAATGCCCCAATGGCTGTCTTGGATCGCATTTATGAGATTCATTCACTGCAGAGGTGGAGAGGTATATGCTAGATCAGCATGAACCAACCATTCCAGGAAAGCCCAGACCATGTCCATTAAATTGTGGCCATAATTTGCCTAGGTCAGTTATCATTCAATTATCGCTATGAATTGATTCATGAAATTTTGTCGTCATTTTGGTAAAAATAAGGGCATGTAAAAAAATCAGTCAATAGGACCAACACCCGATTTTGCCTCAGAAGTAAAGCACGGTTAATGTAAAACTTGTTTAACTTGTTTCTCTTTTGAAAGGCCATATTTGGAGCTTTAGTTACGCCATAAAGGAAGGCTGAGGAGTGTTGCCTTCAAGGTTTGCCTTATTATATTGCTCGGAGTTCAGAAAAACGCTTAATATTACTAAATGTATGTTTTTTAAGACGATTTAGTGGAAATGGTCGAAGATTACTTCAAAATCTGCGTTACTGGGGCAAAATTTGAACTAATTGAATAGCGTATAAAATATCACAATAAAGACAAACGTGGGTTGGTCTGCCTAGGAGTTAAATTTTTACTAAAAGTTGATAACATACCTCGTATTGGAGGAGGTGCAAGAAACGCGAGTTCGTGTGAACTTTAAAAAAATTAACCTATGTAAATCTTTTCCTTTCTGCGTCCTCTAAAGGCTTTTGCACGCGCTTAACTGCACTCCTGAATACTTTCTGGAGAAAAAATATATTGGTCAACAAAAACATGGAGGAGGCTCGTAATAAAAGGCTAAACAAAGGTTTTAAATTTTTTAAAGTAATTTATGATTTACACTTTGGTTATCTATTCTTTTTTTAACTTAAGGAGATGCAGGACATGCAAGAGAAAGCGAAGTTTAAGGGCCAATAGCTTTTTTGCTGAAGTCCCTAAAAATTCCTCTGGGGCAAATGATGATGATGCTCTATTTTTGGTCTATCAATGAAACACAAACACAAACAATGAGAATGATGACCATGAATAGAAGCATGGTATGCACTATCTTCAGAAGTTTGGGGGTTGTATGTTCCCAGGACATCACCAAAAACCCGTTCATCTCCTTTGGTGGCCCAGCAATGGTGAGGTGGGATGAAGGCAAATTCAATCACAAGGTGAAGGTTAGCATTAAGCAATGATAATAATAATAATAGTAATGATAATAATAGTAAAGTAAAGTGAAGCTTGATAAAGAGGAGGTGATAAAGCATCTGGAAGATGGGACCCAGTACAAATTTCTAGGTGTACTAGAAGACATCAGACAAGATGACAAGATGGCCTAAGGCTGTGCCGCAAATGTGTATCATAAGCGGATGTCAGTGATATGGTCAAGTCCCCGGTCTGATGAGAATCACATCATAGCTTCCAATCAGTTTGCGCTTCCAGTTTTGACCTACCTTATGTGGACGCAAAGATGGCCCTCGACAGAAATAAGGAGGATTGATAGAGAAGTAAGAAAGATAATTGTTGAGAATGGTGGCAAGCATACTCTCGGATCAACGACTCTGCTATATCTACCACGAGACCAAGGCGGAAGAGGGATGCAGTCAGTTGAGAGCGTGTACGAGGCAGCGAAGATCAAGGCAGCAATCAAGCTTTAATCCAATGAGGATCCCACGATGGTAACTGTATGATGCTTTGTAGAAAATTCTTTACGGAAGGGTCACCAGGGTTTTTTCGCTGATAACCTTTGGTATATACAATAATGATGTGATGGCGGAAATAGTGTTTTGGAATAATATTCCACTGCCCCCCCCGCCCAACAATGAAGTTGATTGGTATCGGCTTTCTTATTCAGTATGTTTAGCGATTGTCATACAATAATGACTGGTTGATCTTTCCACCACCAACCATCTTCCTTTTCCAAACCACTGCGATTTTTACTTCGTTTGTGCAATCGAAAAGTAAGGAATAAAAAGCGATGTGAATAGAGTTAAACCCCTACACACAATAGTGATGTAATAGTGGAAACAGTCTTTTGGTATAGTATTCCATCGGGGGGCCCCCTCTCCCTACAATGAAGTTGATTGGTCTCGGTTTTCTTATTCACGTAAAAATGTTCAGAGTAAATACAGTTAGCATACCTGTGTTAACGTGTTAAATTACTGACAGATAACATGTATTAACAATCATGTTTGAAAGAAAAAGTAGCCTGTAATCGTTTGTGAATCTATATTTGTCATTATGTCGATTTCACTCGCTGAGGAACAGACCCTTTTGGAAAAGTATACTGAAGGTACTGTTTTGCATAATATGATCAACTTTCATTTCTCTATCTGACATATAATCCTATTGTGAGCATTATTACAATGCACTGTGTCGTGTCATAATATAAAAGAAATTACAAGTAAATGTAAAATTTGACATGTTAAGGCTGTCATGTTAAATTTTATTCAACTTCAATCTATAAAATTTGTGCATCTAGATGTGTTACCAGGCCAGGTCTGACAGGAGGAGCATGGTCATAGTGACCCTCAAAGAAGGTGACAACGTATCTGATGTGATAAGGTGACTATCAATGATTATTAAGGTTATTTTTATTACTAAAAGCAGGCTACACTCTGCTAAAACAGCTTTTTGTTTACACTGAGACACTGGAGGTTTATGTGCGTTTGTTACGACAGTGAAAAGAAAATTCAGAAGCGCAGGGTCGGATCTACTAATAATGGCACCCACAACTTCTCGGCCTATACTCATAAAGTGTTTTTGTAATGAGTGTTTTAAGAACGTGTATAGCATCAAAAACCAATTTGTTTCACAGGTATACGTTAACTAAGGGAATTTTGTACAATAATTGTGCTGCTAGCAGCACAATTCTTGTCTAGCTGCTAAACATTTCCGTAAAAATTAGTCATGAGAATTTGGTGTTACATCAAGATAATAACTTCTACCTCATAAGTTGGAGTATTCTCATTACCTGTTTACTACACATTTATAATTTCCCATGCCATTCTCAAGCACCAGTACATTACCTCAGACCACAGTTTAACCTAGTGTAGATTTTGTCATACAAAAAGGATCTTAATGTAAATTTGATATGTTGCTTTACTACATATTTTTGGCTGCTTTTTAAAAATAAATATCATAGGCTAGTATTAATCTGATTTGACTTTAAGATGGCTGAAAACAGAATTTTTTTACTTTTGACTCTTATGACAAGGAGACAACCTACAATTAGCACGAGAAGAAGAAGTGGTGGATGCTATGAAAAGGGCAGCGGATGCTATGGATGCATTCACCAGGGAATGGTAAGAGGTCATTAATGTTTTATACAATAAAGGTAGAAATGTTTCCAACTTGTTAATCATTGACAACCTTATGATTCCACTGAAAATTTCCATAAACATATATAGCATCAGATACTTATCTGTCATGTTAAATGTCTTGTTTACAATTTCCTATTCTAAAAACCCAGGCAAATCTGTATAATCTGCGTAATATGTTTTGATTATCCAGGCAGATGTACATTTATTGCACCATGTCAAAGTGAATGCTGATGAGATACACAAGTTGAAAAGAATGATTTGTCTCACACAAAATTAAATTATGAGGGAGGAGGGGGGCAGTTAAAATCAATCAAAATTACAATGATGTTATTCGTGATCTTTCCATATTCACCAGCTTCCTGCCATTAAGCATGAACTTAAAAAAAATCAAAAGAGGGCAGTACTAACATCAGGGTATCAGCTGTGATACATACTAAATAACGAGTATTTGACATAAAAAGGGAGGCTTATAAATTTACCAACAAATTTATGGTAACAGCAGGCTATTTGTTTCCAAAAGGGAGAGGTTAGAACAGGAACGCTCATTAAAGAGGGAGTAGGAGATTTCATTGCAAAAGGCAAACGAGAATGAAAAGACGAAATCGGTAAATATCTTTTCCCAAAGAATTACATTGCAAAAATAATACCGATAGCAATGATATCAAGAAAGCCCGGTAATGAAATAAGGATCTTTCTTGGGTGACTTCCTGTAAGACTCTGGGGTCATAAATAATACTTATTACCAATAAAACTGCTATAATTACCACTTTCTCTGATAAGAACTAAGCAGCAGCAATTTCAATATCTTTTTATACATTTTCAGTGAAATATTAAATAAGTTGTCAGGTATTTATTATGTCAGATTAAAGAATCAAGCAAGAAAATAAGAGAGGCCCAACAAAGCATGGTCACCCAACTCAGTCTAGAAGGAGAGAAGGTGACCATTGTCCTTGTATCCATAACTACTAGTGCACAATACTTGCAATGGATAAAACTACTGACATTTCTTTTTCATAAAATTGTTTCAAAATTGTCACCTGTGGGAAAATTTATTCATTCATTTACTTTTAGGAGCTTATGTCTCAAATACTGTGGAATTAATAAATATATAAATCAATACAATGAGGTATATACGTAACTTTACCTTTTTCAACTAAGCGTTATGTTTTCAATTAGGTCATTACTCCTTTTGACAATCCATTTTGTATGCCCAGGTTAACAGTTTGGGTTATGAGCTAGTTTGATTCATAGGGTTAAGCATTAATTTTGAAGTTGCTAATGGTGAGTAAATAAGACATGCTTCTTCTGGGTAACATAATGGCCTTCCTTATTTTTCTCCTTCATCGCGGAGAATAACAATAAAAGCTTAATTTTTTCATTTGTTTCACGATGTGGTCACGTGTGCTGTAGATCGCGATGTTTCGACTATATACTGCTAGTCTTCTTCAGGCGATGAAGTTGATTGGTCATGTGCATAATGCTCTGCTGTGATTAGCTGTTTTTCAACAGCTCTGATTGGTGCATTTCGTTGTCTAGTTTGTTGTCTTTCTCTGTCTCCATGGTGAAGCGGATGGAAGGCTCTGGTTGTTTAGATGCTGTAAGAAGTAATCCACGTTTTCGCGATCCAGGATGGTAAAGGGATCGTCCACTTAGCATTTCCAGATCGTAGACTCATAGTATGATGTAGTTATTGCCTGTTCTTCGAAACTCTCCATGTAGAGGTTAGCAATAACAGTGGAAACCAGACTCCCCATGGCGGAGTACGGAGTTCAAAAGTGTTTAGTTCACAGATTTTCTCCCAACAACAAACGTATTTCTTCAAATCGAAGTAGGATGGGAAATACATTACCATAAAAATTTAATTATATATTATTGCATACTGAGACTAGTTATTGTCACAACAGATGAAGATCCAAACACTGGAAATAAAAATGAGGTAAGGGAAGTAGTGAACATTAACATGTCTCGTAAGATTATTGGAAGTATGCTTTATTATTAAAACCCCACAAAAAGAATGTTGCATTGTCATGTTTACAAAAACTTTATAACTCCGTGAACCTACTTAATTTTTGGCAATCTCCGAGTTTGGCTGCCATTTTGAGGTACTTGTCAACATGAAGCGTAGCTGATATAAATCAAGCAGGTAGATCTGAAACCGCCAGAAAAACATACGAAAGCAATTCAACTTTACTTTCAATTCAAGTGAAATTGTGCCTTAAACTTACCACTCCTACATCCCCGTGCGACCATTTCTTCCAACAATTCAAACACTACAGCTAGTGTTCGAATTCCTCTCGTTGATTCCACCGTGAGAAATAAGCTGTGCCACCCAGGCTTCGACTCGAATGTGAAGTACGAATCAAATAACATAACTGCTTTATCGAAGCAATATCACGCTGGTATTTTGATTTTCGGATCGAAAAGAACGGTGATCAGGAAGCGATCGCCATGTTTACCTCATAAACGTGATCACTGACCAGCCGCTGAGTGAAAACAGAACGGCTCATTGGTGAGGGAGGGGTGTGGGGTGGGTGTGGGCAGATTATCAGAAGATTTTTTGGGAACATTCGAACATATGCATTAAAGTATCATAATAAGCATTAGGACTCTCAGTCTTAATGCGAGGGCATGCTTCGTGTTGCAGACAACTTTTGTTTTGCTTAGTATGCTTTTTTCTTTCAAATACATTTCGTTCCAAATAGGACTGGCATCAATTCATAGATTTATAAACAAATCTTCACCATGTAAATAAATGTGTTCAGATAGCCGAGATCATTAACCATTGAACCTCTTGTATTGTATCAGAAGTAAGGTGTCTTGTTTTTGCCCAACTCTGAGAGCGTGGAGCGGCAAAGACGCGAGACACGAGTCTCGTGTCTCGCGGCTTCTCCCTGCTCACAGGATACGGGTGACCTCACTATCTTTAAGAAAAATAACAGAATGCTTGGATTCTGTATTCCGTTCAACCATTTCACAAGAGTGACGCAAGTATTTTCAATTGAGTGAAAAAGTCACAAATCCATGTTTTACCTCACGAGCGTAACCACCGACCACTTACGAATTACAGTAAGCTTCTCCTTTGGCGCGGAAATTGAAATCGCATCGAGTATAAAAAGTTACAGTGAGTTCCTTTAGATCTCCTGAACTTGTAAAAAATTACAAGTACCGGAAGATGTCGTTTGTTAGCGAGACGTTCATTATGTCTTAGGACTACCTTTTGAATAGCAGAGATAGAAAAAACTTTGGTTCATCGCGTGGCTTAAGTGGTTTAGTACAACTGTCTGAATGCAATGATAAAGTAAAACATCATTTGATAAGCTGCCCCCTGTCTAAAGAGGTCTTAAGTGAAAATGAGCTAATCTTGGCAAGGACTGGCCTATTTCGCCTCGCTCAGGAGGATAAATAAAAAATGTGGATTTGCATGTCGGTTTTCAACTCTTGATGGATGCTTACTGGGCTTCACTTTAACTGAGAAATTTGCAATCGCTTACCTCAGCTTTCTGTGTCCCATACGGTACGAAGCACAAGAAAAAAGTTGAGATTGTGAGTCTTGGCTGAGACAAGAAAAATCAGAGAAGAATTTACGGTCCCCAGAAACGTTACTTTTAAACACGAGACAACTAAGGTAAATTGAATCAAGTGGTATTTGTCTTATTGAAAACTATTGTTCAGATTATAAGATACGCAAATTATTCTCCCCACCGATATTTTATTACATTTTGTTAATCAAAAATTTCAGTAATTGCTAAGGCTTTCTTGTTGATCGTCTTAATAGTAACAGTTTCCAGGATCTAATTGCTAGGGAAGCAAAAGAGAGAACAATTTTCTGTGTCGTTGGATAAGGCATCGTGCCAGCTTTATACTTCTTCCGGCGTGATAACGAGAATGATGACAACAATGGGTAAAAAGCACTGTCCGCTAATAATGACGATCGTCATAGTTATAAACAAATCTCAGTTATAGTCCTGGAAAAATCTCAGGGGGTCCTTTGAACCATCCACTTCATCTCCCTAGAAGTCAAAATTGCCTACACTCATTCTAAGATTCATGCGATTTTACGACGAACTTTTAATTTTGGTGTGCGCGCGCGCGACTTTTGATAGAAAAAACCTGCACGCGCCATAATTTAAAAGAACGTGGCAGCTGAATAAATAAACTCTATCATTTTGCATACATTCTTGGGAACAGAAGAAATGACTTAGAACAAACATTCTAAGTATAGTGTTCATTCCGTGCAATGGGGCATTAATAAAAGGTCAGATGACATGCAAAAGGGTCATATGGTTACCTCTGTTAAAAATATATTGATAACTCTATTAATTAATACCAGTTCTAATTTAAAGGAGAAAGTTATGAGAATGAAATAAAAGTTGTCTGTACCACGAAGCATGCCTTCACTGTTGAGACTGGGAGTCTTAAAGCTTTTAAGCAGGTATTCAAATATATAATGACGATGAGCCCGCCACCCACCCCACCCCACGCTATATTGTTTTCACTCAGTGGCTGGTCAGCGGTCACGTTTATAAGGTAAACATAGCGATCGCTTCGCTTCTTGTCGATCCGAAAATCAAAATACCAGCGTGATATTGCCTCGATGAAGCAGTTATGTTATTTGATTCGTACTTTACATTCGAGTCGAAGCTTGAGTGGCACAGTCTACTTCTTACGGTGGAATTGACGAGGGGAATTCTGTTGAGTTGCTCGTGAGGCAAGGACAACACGTGTTTTGCTCTCCTTCATTTATTACTTCATGTAAGCTATACATTTCTTGTAAGCTAACAATTCATGTAAGCTAACACAACAAATTCGAACACTAGCAGTAGTGTTTGAATTGTTGGAAGAAATGGTCGCAGAGGATGTAGGAATGGTAAGTTTAAGGCACAATTTCAAATTTTGCCGCTTGAATTGAAATTAATTTGAATTGCTTTCGTATGTATTTCTGACGGTTTTAGATCTACCTGCTTGATTTATATCAGTTACGTTTCATGTTGACAAGTACCTCAAGATGGCAGCCAAACTTGGAGATTGCGGAAAATTAGGTAGGTCCATGGAGTTAGAAAGTTTTTGTAAAGGTCGGGCCGCAAAGTTCTTTTCTGTAGTTACCTTTTCTATGGCACCTACTTCCTAGCTATGTTAGTTGGATCAATT